CAGAACAAAAGACACTGAAACCTTCATTAATAGGGTTTGCTGCTGTCATTGTTGCGGGGCGTACGTATATCTTTGCCCGCAATTTTGTTAGTCGTGATGCGTGACTTGTACATGAATTCGTTTTTTACATACTTTCCTTTCTGATTCGATATATGGTTCAAGTAAATCCTTGCGGATTGCCAATTGTCGTTTCCCTTACTTTATTCTCGTATCTATCAAGAGACGGTTTGGTAGTTCAAGATGTCCTTGCAGACGCTATCGCCGTCTCCCTCTCCTATTTTCCTCTTTTAACACAAAATGAAAAAAAAAAAAACGAAAATAATGAAAATTTGACCATAAAAACTGCAAATTATAAAACAAAAATTGGCTAGTGGCATTTAACACCTCTTCTCTGTTGTCTTTCTTTTCTCTTACTATCTTGGCCCTTATGTGTATAATCTGGTTCACGATATCTGAAACGGCACCGAAAAGGGCCCTGCTGCAGAAATGGTCGCCTTCGGAAGCTATTGAAAAACGTCATCGGAGGATCGCCGGAAGCCTGGAGACCAGGATGCTCGTCAGAGCGGGTATTAAGCCGCCCCAGGACGTGGAAGGACGCCGCCTGCCAGGACGCCCGTTGATCTAGTGAATGACCAGGAACTCGCCAGCGCAGGTACTCGTCGCCCCATGATGCTGTGGACGGGCGCATTCTGCCTGGACGCTACAGATCTAGTCAAATTCCAGGAGCTCGTCAGCGCAGGTATCAGCCGCCCTGTGATGCCGAAGAGGACGCTTCCTGCCGGACGCCCGTAGATCCTGACGAAGATTAGGAGGACGTCTGTACGAGCGCACAGCCGAGAAGGACGGACGAAGATCTGCGAGACGTGCATTGGGCGAGTAAGCCACCGAGTTAGACCAGGACGAGGATGACGACAAGGACGAGCAGCCACAGAAATGCGCCAGGGATACCGTCAGTGTGATCGAGGACGAACAAGTTAGGACAGCCAGGTTAGGTCAACCTTGAGGCAAGTCTAGATCGCCTCGGGGACGAGGCGTTAGTTGGTGGCCGAGCAATATACTGGGTGGAAACAGCTGCCGAACAGCTGCCGGTGACCCGGTTACAGATGGTGTTCCCCCCACTGCTTTCCGGTGGCCGCCGGTACTTATACTCCAAGGATGACCCCTGTCAGTCAGAGTGTGATCTGCCGCTGCTGGGTCAAGCCTGATCCCTAGGCGCGACCATTCTGGCTGCTGGGCGCTCGTGACCTTAGGTGACCCGAGCATACACCCAAGATTGTCTCGTGTGTGTATTACTATCCGTGTGCTTAACTCTTACAGAATAAAGAGTGTAAAGCCACCAAGCTTTTACTAGCCTGTTAACAATGTATAAGAGGTCAAATAACACCCTTTACACACTCTCTCTCTCTCGCTCTACCTTTCTTACTCTGTGTATGTGTGAGTCAATGAGAGAGAGAGAGAGAGAGAAAGAGGGAGAGAGAGAAAGAGAGTGTGTGAGAGAGAAAGAGAGACAGAGGCGCTGAAGGAGGTATCGAGGTCGACCTCATTCTCACCTTTTCCTCCGGCAGGTCGAACTTGGTCCAAACGATGTTGAGGTTGAGCGGCTCCGAGCCCCACCAAGGCTCCTTCCACCCCATCTGCAACTTGTTGGCCACGCCCAGCTCCATACCCTGTCACGAAAGAAAAAAGGAAAATTAGAAAGGTGTAATCTCTGGAAACGAAGGAAGACAAAAGAAAAAGGGGGATATGACAAATAAAATAATAATCGGTGAAAAAAAACAAGAAATACAAGCAAAATAACCACAATAACAAATAAAAACAAAAATATAAAAAAGCATCCGCCTCTCAGTTTCGCTCATTGGCCAATAACCCTAAAACTGACCAATGAGACGCGTTCTTCCATACCTCTAAGGCGTTCACGTAGCCCCTCGGCAACGGCGGTGAGAATAACTGGCCGTGTCGTTCTTGGAGGTGACCAAAAGACGCGGTGACGATAACGTGATCCGCCAGCCAGGAGGAACCACTCTTGCTGACGATAAGAACTTGCCCTTTTTCTAGTTTTCCTTTCTGGTTTTCGTCCCAAAAGATGCGGCAGACGGGACTCGAAAGACGTATGTGCTCATCGGAGATACTAACCTAGTGTGAAAATACGAAAGTCTTTTTTTGTTTTTGTTTTTCTTGTTTGACTGTTCTACTTTTATTTAGGTTTGTTTTTATGTAATCTGGTATTCGGTGATGATCTGGATTTATGATGATGGTTTGTATCTTTATTTTGAACAACTTAAATCATATATTACAAACTTAAAATTAAGTGATAACAATAATGAGGCCCCAGAGACATGGTTAAAGTAAAGGGGGTCCGCAAGTAGAATTGTAACGCGCACACGCACACACACACATATATAAATATGTTTATATACGTATTTATATACATATACACATATGCTTATATATACATACACATATTCACACACACACACACACGTGTATATATATATCTTATACACACCTATCTATATGTGTGTGTACGATCTCTCTCTCCCTCTCCCCCCTCCCCCGCCCCTTAATCCTTGCCTTGAGGTAGGCGAGCAGAGTATCGTATCCGGCCGCCCACTGGTTGTTGTCGCCGTATTTCGTGAAGGTGCCCGTGGTCGTCACTTCGGGAGTCGTCCAGTCGTTGCACCCGATGGCAGAATTGACTATCTGGAGAGAGAAAGAGAAAGAGAGAGAGAAAGAAAGAAGTAAAGATCTTTACCTTGAATAAAAAATATACATGAATATCTAATCTATACAATACAAACAAAGAAAAAAATAACAGTAGTAATTGAAAGGACGTACATCTTCAAACGATTTTACTTACCTTGTTTAAGAAATGTAGCCAACCTTTCCACTCCTCGGTCGATTCCTCTCCGAAAAGACTCTTGTACCTAGAGAAACGGTAAACAAATGGAAAGTGTGAGTGCATGTTTGTGAAAGAGAGAGAGAGAATGAGACACAGCGAGAGTGAGACACAGAGAGAATGAGACACGCAGAGAAAATGAGACACACAGAGAAAATGAGACACAGAGAGAATGAGACGCACAGAGAGAATGAGAGAAAGAGAAAGAGAGAGAAAAAAAAGAAAGATAAAGAGAGAAAGAGAAAGAAAGATGACCCAAATACCTAAGCTACCAAATCAACCAGGATCCACCCACTCACCTATCTGCAAAGAACGCACCGAGACCAAGACCCCGATAAGGAGCCAAGGAGGACGCATTGTCACTAACTTCAGACAACAGCCCCTGAACTACAGGGTAAGGATCTGGAGCCATTTGTTTGCCCTCTTGTGAGACCGTCCGGAAATCTGATGCGAATACACGAAGGAAATGTAGGAAAAGGGGTGAATATTAATCAAAGTGAATTTCATTATCGGAATGATAATTATCATTGCTATCTTAAAGGTAATTATTAACATTATTATGGTAAAGATAATTGTTATCATTGTTATCGTAATGATTATTATCATTATCATCGTAGAGGTAATTGTTGTAATTGTTACTGACCATTATCACTATCATTAGGTTATAAAAAAATGATTGAAATTATATTCCCATTTCCCAGGAAAGAGGTAGGTCTACTTTCCCATTTCCCAGGAAAGAGGTAGGCCTACTTTCCCATTTCCCAGGAAAGAGGTAGGCCTACTCACCCATTTCCCAGGAAAGAGGTAGGCCTACTTTCCCATTTCCCAGGAAAGAGGTAGGTCTACTTTCCCATTTACTGGGAAAGAGATAGGCCTACTGTCCCATTTCCTTGGAAAGAGGTAGGCCTACTTACACATTACCCAGGAAAGAGGTAGACCTACTCACCCATTTCCCAGGAGAGGTAGGCCTACTTACCTCATTTCCCAGGAAGAGGTAGGTTTACTTACCCATTTCCTAGGAAAGTGGTAGGCCTACTTCCCCATTTCCCAGGAAAGAGGTAGGCCTACTTACCCCATTCAACTAAAAGAGATAGGCCTACTTACCCCATCTCCCAAAGATAGGCCTACTTGCCAGATTCAATCAAGAGGTAGGCCTACTTACCCCATTCAACCAAAAGAGGTAGGCCTACTTACCCCATCCCCCTGCTTACCCCGTTCAACCAAAAGAGATAGGCCTACTTACCCCATTCCTCGGGAGGGGGCGGGGCGAGTGCATTCAACTCCTGCGCCAGCCTATATAAAGGGTTCCTCTCGTCTCCGTGAATCCATTCCGCGCCCGCCTCTACCACGATGTCTCCTAATAAGAAATGGTATGAGTGAGAATGAATATCTTGACAATACAAGAGATCCATCTCATTCATAGCTTTTCTACATTTGTCAACATGAATACGGTTTATTGTTTCCTAATAAGATGTTGGGTTATTTGTGGTCTGTTTGATGCTTTGTGGTTGTTAGTGTTTGGGTGTGGGTGGAATAGGGGGGGGGGGGGGGTTGTTTGGTTGTGTGAGTAAGTTATTATCATCATTATCGGCCTGGGTGTATGTATACGTGTAGGTTTATTTACAAACCCACCTGGATGCACAGACGCACCTGCATTTGCACAAATTTTAAAGTGTATCTTTGAGTGTATCTTAGACTTACAACATGTATATATATACTATTAAAAAAACATAAAACTTACGTAACACGGCTCAAAGAATCAAGCGGAGTTGATATCAATAATTTCCCTCCATATCTATTTTTTCTTTCTTTTTCCATCACCCACCTTCCCTGACGGTGAAGACACGCCCACCCAGCCTCTCCTTGGCCTCCAGAATGAGCAAGTTTTTTACGTTGTTTTCCAGCAGCGTTTTGGCCGCCGTCAGTCCGGACACGCCCCCTCCTATGATAACCACGCCCACCTTCTCGGCCTGCCTCACCCTAGAATGGATTGTGGAAGGAGGATTACGAATTTCTTTTTATTAGTGTTATCATCATTATTATTATTAATATCTTTATTGTCATTATTATTAAGTTTATTAATATAATCATTATTATTGTTATTACTATAATAATAATAATTATTATTATTATGATATGAACATTTCATTATCATTATTACTATTATTGTTATGGTTATTATTATAATTACTATCACGACCGGATGTACACTTATTACGCGGTAGCAAGACAGTCGCCACGGTCACTGAGCAGTAGCGTGTTACCTCTCGCTCGCTCTCGCATCGGTTTTATCCTCTTCGAGTTTCTTGGGTCGCATCTCACTCGCTGAATGGGTTTCGATATAACGCAAAAACCCGCGAGCCATTGAGCAACTCATGGCAGTCGTACGAGTAAACGAGGGGGGGGGGGGGGGGGGGGGGGGGGGGGGGGGGGGGGGGGGGGGGGGGGGGGGCGGGGGGGGGGGGGGGGGGGGGGGGATTGAAAAAAAACGCTCTCTTGTCGAGGAAAAACCTACCTCATTATTCTTATCTTGATATTATTATGATGATTATCATTACCGTAGCTATGGAAATATGTAAGGAAGACCAGTCCTCTCCCTCAAGTCTAACATTCGATATAGCAATCTTTTTTTCATTTTCATTTTTAGATGTGTAAATCGGATTCCTCATCATAGCATCCACACCTATTTTGGAAGGATATAAAGAAAGTATAATACATGGGTTTTACTGGATAGATTTTAGTCAAGATTAAAGACACTGGAACGCAGAGACTATATCATAAGTAGTGGATATTAAAACAAAATTATGGTCTAAGGCTTTTAAGTTCAGAGGTACACCCGAATATATCAAGGTAGGTAGGTACATAGCTAATCGTGTTCATACATTACTGTAGTGATGTATAACTCACCAGTCTGAATATACGCCGGAAACTTCATCACAGGGGTGTGGGGTCCCGTACATATCTATGAGGGAGAAAGATGTATATTGTATAATGTATCTTTTAGCATAAACAAAGCTTGGACGAGTAAAACGAAGGAGGCCAAAGGGAAAATGTTCAAATAAAAGTTAAAAAGTAATTACAACGACATACATAAATGAACAGGAAATGTGACTCAGACAGACCATGGCTGCGGTAAGATGAGATGCAAGATTTGAACTCTGTTGATATTGATATTGATTTTGGTAGAATAATGATTAAATTGATAATATACATTGATTATATACAAATAGGATTCATACACACACACGTACGCACACACACCGGTTCGAGGTAGGGAGAGATAGACATAGCCTAGTCGACCTACTATACACACACAGAGATAAGACACAAACATATATGTTATATATATATATATATGCGGGCATGGTGTGTGTGGTAATACACACACACACACACACAACGCACGCACACACAGGACACCAACACATATACAAGAAACACATACAATAAGACGAGATAGAGGGAGAGAGAGGGAGGGAAGAGAGATCACAGACAGTGCAGCGAGAGAGAAACAGAGGGTAGGGAGGGATAGAGAGAGGCAGGTATGTAATATATCTATTATATAAATATATTAATATCTGTGTGTGGTTATATCTTCATATGGATATATATATTACGTAATGTACTATATATATACATACACATATAAGAGGTGTTAAAGGTATGTGGGATGCTATATGTTTGTGTTTGTGTGTGGTGTGCTGCCGCGCACATATATATATGTATATGTATATATATGCCTACACCAAAACACATCAGAGTTCTTCCATTATCTTGTTACATTGTGAGCCGAACGAGTATATGGGCGTTGTGTTTGAGAGGAATGAGAGAAAGACAAGAGAGAGAGAGAGAGAGGAAGGGAAGAGAAAGAAAGAAAAAGTAGAGACGAGAAAGAAAAAAGGAAGAGAGAGAGAAAAAAAGGAAGAGAGAGAGAGGGGGGGTGGGAAGAAAGTGAAAAAAATGGAGAACGAGAAGGAGAAAAAGAAAGAACGTGAGCGTTTGAGAGGAAGAGAGAGAGAGAGACAGAGGAAGAAAATGAAAGATTGAAATAGAGAAGGAGAACGAGAAAGAAAGTGAGCCTCAGATTTTTTTTTGTAACATAAATAAATAAATAAATATATAAACACACATATACATATACATGCATATATATATATATATATATATATATATATATATATATATATATATATATATCCGAGCCTGTCGCTCAAGAATCTTAACGAAAGGTCACAATATTCAACAGCCACATTTAAAAAAATTGTTATTACATTTCCATTATCTTACAACATAGTCCCTTCGCCACAAGTATATGCAAATCATTAATAATAACTTACCTGAATATGGGTCAAAGAAAGCAAAGACGTTGAAGAAATTCAACATTGCCCTGAAGTACATCTTGAACAGTTCAACAACTTCTACAGAAATAAGTTTTTCTAGGCAGTAGGCCCCCTAGGTTAATGCTGCCGGACGTACGACTTTTCTTTTCTTTTGAGAAATCTGATTGGTTGGTGGTTTATGACGTCATGGGAAAGGCCGAAGATGGGATGAAGGATAACTATGATAATTCTATATTAGTTCTCGTTTTTTCTTACATTTTGTTTGTTCGTTGTTATTCAAATGTATTTAGGGTTTGGGTGATGTTTACTGACAACTAGTGTTCGCTTGTTTGTCGGGAAAGAAATGAATTGCATTAAGATTTATTTTAGCAATGATATGATACGGTACCATAGCAACTAACCTTTATTTTCTGTGGCTATATCATTATGGTATATAACATTAATATTTACAGTGCAATCATTTGGATAAATGAATTGTATTTTTGAAAACTATTACTTGTACGTGTTTGCAAACGCAGGGGGAATGGGAGAGAGAGAGAAGAGAGAGAAAGAAAGAGAGAAAGAGGGAAGAGAGAGAGGAGAGAGAGAGAAAGAGAGAGATTTTGTTTTATTTTGTCAAGTTTATTAAGACTAAAGCTTACACCTGTGTTTCGGCTCAATAATATATATTTTACATGCTTGAACGACTGTGCCATTATGACTGTATTATTCACATATCATTAATTCAAGACTAAGACCAGTGTCTATGCTAAAACTAATGTAACTGATAAGCGCTACTCTCTCTGTTATAGAATATGTAACCCACAATTTATTTTATTATTATTATTATTACTGATTGATTTTATTATTATTATTTTTTTTTTTTACCTAACTAGCACTAGTTCTGACTGAAGGTAACGTACAATATCACTTAGAGTGAAGATATTGAAAGCGAGCTGCCTTGCGTTTCTGCAAACTGTTTATGTCCCAGGTAATTTCAGCAGATTACTTGGAAACACTTGTTATTTGACCTTGTTCAAGGCCGAGACTACTGTTGCTCGAGGAGGAATGTAAACTTCCTTCCTTTCAACTGAGACTGCCGAATGATCTGTGGCTGCGTCATAAACATTTAATTACGTCTTTGACCAGCATTTGTGGCGTATCATTGATTTCTCTGTTGGACCCTTGCTTGTCCTGTTGCAGTGAGGATTGAGCTGAAACCGGTGCTGGAGTTGTTTGGGCTTTTACTCCCGTTGGTGCTGTGGCTTTCTTTGTAGGTGTGGGAATTCCCTGGCATCATTGATAAGGCGAATGATTGGGATGGGATTTTTGGGTGGGGGCCTTTCAGGGAAAAACCTTGTTGTCTTTTTTAAGCACCTAAACACCTGCATCTAGTTTTTATTACGACCAGAATCTATTTTGTTCGTTGTTACTTCTTACGTAAACATTGTTCCTCCCAATGTCTATATCAAACGATTCATTTGTCTAGTTGTAAGGAACAATTTTCAGGTCCTGAAATACCCAACGATGTTTGTCTCCGTATGTGTGAAACTTCTATATCGTTTTTAAAAATGCGCGCAAAAGAGAGAGAAAGAGAGAAATTGAGAGAGAGAGAGAGAGACTGATTTGAAAAAAAATATTTCCAGAACAGCGTACATGCCCTGCAGGAAGCCAGGGTAAGTTAACAATCTATCCTAACTGGCTGTGCTTCAATTTGTGTAGAGGGCTAGCAGTCAAACATTAATGTTATATAGATGCCTCAAGTGCTATACCATTGTATCTACAATATTAAGATATCTGGTTTGCAAAAAATCTTTTATATAACTAATCACGTAAAAAAACATGACCAGAGTCTATAATCAAATTAATACAATCAGTAAGTGCTAATCTGTGGACAGTACTGCTTGATCGATAGGATGCAGTTTTCATGCAACAAAGCAAGTAATGAGTTAGATTATGCGAATTGGGCGCCTTGCACAGTTTGCCTCCAAAACTGTTCTATCGTGTACTGATATCCTATGCGTAGCCTAGTCAATGTAACCTGTTTTCTCCGAAACCGTCCATTATAGACTTTATAGGGTTTGTCTATATCCCAGCAATACTCTCATAATGCCAGATAGTACCATTTTTCTTCGTCTTTTCAGTGGGACATACCTGACCTTCATAGACAGCCGATGACACGTTTATTTTTCATTTAACGAAGCGGTACTGCATAACATGGGACTTCTAGGAAAAATGCTAATTTGGTTCATTAATCGTCCTTGTTATAGCATGATATTCCTCTATGAGATGTTATACAGTATAGTGACACTTGCCCTGTTCTGATAGTCTAGACATCTGGTGAAGGATATTTCTAGTTACCATGTTTTTGGATTGAATGCAGTGGGCCTGTGGTGGGCACCTTGGCTATCAGTAAAGACAGCCAGGTGTCGCTGAGAAGAAAGAGGAGAGAGAGCGAGCGAGGAGAGCGGCGGCTGTTGGTGTTTTTTTTGTTTTTGTTTTTTTGGGGGGGAGGTTGGAGGAAGGGGAGGTGTTGTAATAAAGTATAACACAATGATTTAGTCCTAATCATTCATCGCGTCCTTATTGTCATCATTCATACTTCACATTACGTACACACGCCATGCACGCATACACGCACGCATGCACACACGCACACACACACGCACGCACACACACACACACACGCGCGCGCGCGTTGCGCGGATTCCCAGCAATGAATGAATTTGCAATGTCTTGAAAAGGGGGGAGATTTACAGTAGATTATGAATCATGAGATAGGGTTTATTCTCAGTTAGTCCCGCTGTCAGCTTAAAAATACACAACAGGACACGATATACGCCTCTTAAATATCTCAACCAGAGGTGCATCAATTCCATCCTTTCAATTCATCGCAGGTGTTGCAATGGGCGGGCAGAGCACATGCGACTTCCGGGTCAGGCACGCGTCGCGGCGAGATGGGCACTGGCGAGAGGGAAGCGAAGTATCCCCCCCAGAGGCCGTGTGAAGGTGCACAAAACTCTTTTTTTAAGTGGGGGCGAGACTTTTCTTTTGGTTGTAGATTTATGGGTAAAGTAAAGAGTTTTGGTTTTAAATTGCGATTTTACTGCTCTTTTCTGTCATAGACTAAGTAATTGCCACAGTTGCCAAAGAATGGGCATCTGAGCGCGACTGGAGGACATTAAATGGCAACCTTTCTTTCTTTCCTTTACTTTTTCTTAACCTCAGTTTCAGTGTACGGACTCAGAGACTGAAAGGCCTTCCTATGAAAAGGCGGTGGTTCATAGTTCTGTTTTGCGACTGTAAATTAAAAAAAAAAAAGATCAGTCCATCCTTGAGCTCAGTTTGCAGGACTGTGGTTCTCCGCCTCTTTTGCTATGAGGGCGACACCTTGTTCTTACAAGATACTTAAACGCTCATTTCTTGAGATTTAGAACGCAGAATGAAGGCCTGTACTCTGTAACTACTTTTGTAGGATGTGACCAAAAATTTCAGAACAATAACAAATGGCTATTTTGAAAGGAAAAAAATTAAGGTTAGACAGGGTGGAAAAGACCCTTCCCAAAAGGGACGCCTCTAGATCATAGGAATAGTTCAAATATCAAGGAAGTTATGGCATTTAATTTAAGATTAGTAATTGGCGTCCCATTGTCCTATCAATAACAGTAAACAATAGAGCGAGTGTGCCCCCTAACACAAGGATTTTCTAAACTTTTTTTAATGCCATTTCCTTAATACTAGATATTCACTGAAATTACACAAGAAGGTACATGATATGGTTTGTTTACAAAACAATGAAATGACGTCCAGAGAAACCGGGAAAGTGAGCCCGTGACCTAAAATGCCGAGACAGGAACAGCTTGCAGAACAACTTCTACACCTCTAAGTCATCGGGTCCCCTAAACTCATGATAATTCAAAAATTAACATGTACGATGTCTTTTAGGCATTAATAAAGGTATTGACAAAGTTTATTTGCAGTTTCGAACAACTTTGATATGTGCGGACGGCGGTGTGAGCGCTGAGGGATAGCATTTCAGGCGACAGAAAAAAAAAGTTTTAACGACACCACTCACCATTCAATAAGTCCTGGACATGAAAGGAGTAAACATATTAAAAAATATAAATATGTTCCCAAATCGAAAACCCATCGGTCACACTGGAAATGGACAAAAATGGCGGCCGCTGGATCGAGATGTGCGCGTACCTAAACTTTTGTCGTGGTTCTGTCCACACCATTTTTTCGTTTGTTTCCACAAAGAGAGATGAAGAGGTGAGCGACAGGTAGAGGAGCGAGGGGGGGGGGGGGGGTAGTTTAGTATGGGTAGGGGGGGGGGGGTAGTTTAGTTGGATCTCCATTTATTTCTTGGTGTGAAATACTGGCTGTTTCCTTTGTTTCAAATTTATTCCCTGTATGTAAAAGAATGGCTGGGTGGGGATTACCATCAACTAGGCGGAGGGGCCGGTCGGGGTGGGTGGTGGGGAGGTGTGAGAGAGGAGAAGAGGACAGACAGACAGACAGAGAAACAGATGAATGAAAGACAGAATATAGGGAAAGAGACGAGAGAGAGATGCGTAAAATTCAACACATGTTCCTCTACAATGTGAGGCTTCGAATATTCTGTGCGAAACTACATCAAGAATAAAAGTTGTTGCAAGTATCCGGTAAAAAACTGGTTTTTCTATGCTTATAAATCTGAAAAAGAGAAAACAAAAAATTTTGTGGCTAACTTTTTAAAAAAATTGTTCTTACTCGTGTGTGTTGTGTGGTGTGTGTGTGTGTGTGGTGTGTGTGGTGTGTGTGTGTGGTGTGTGTATGTGTGTGTCTATGGCTTGTGTGTGGTGTGGGGTGTATGTGTGTGCGCGTGTGTGTGTGCGTGTATGTGGTGTGTTTTCTTACCTAGTTGTTTTTTCAATACGGTGAGAAGAGCTTAAATTATTTAAATCCTAAGATCATTTTTTTAATTGATGCCATTTTGGCAACACAAGATTTGTCGGAAGATTGTTCATGTTTCAAGAGTTCGTTTAGGAAAACTGAACTTCTTGACATCTTCCTCGCCTCTTTTACTTCAACTTTTACTTTGTCCTTTCGGGCCTTTTGTGTCAAATTAAAAGTCATCTCTGTCTAACGTCACCCTTTCGTAAATATAGTTGACATCATATCATACACCTCTTTTTCCTTTTTCCAAAGTAGACAAGACATTATTTTCGTTCGTCTTTCTTCGTAGTTCATATCTCTTAGGTAGGTGCCCATCTTACGGATTTTTCTTTAAACTCCTTCTAGTTTATCTATATCCTTTTTTACTGTGGACGGCCACGTCCCCTGCACCGTACCCAATTATGTCTCATGATGGCTGTAAATGATCTTTATTTCCTAGGTTTCGTCCACATACAACGATTGCCTCTTCATGTTGGCAATAGCTTTAGAATTTTAAGAACCTTGTTATTTATGTGGATCTATTTTTGGTTTAGTTCCCGTTAGGATTTCCAAGGTGATTTTCTTGATCTGGTTGGATTAATATTAAGTTCTCCGAACTTGTACTGGTTTATTATAGGGGGGAGGAGGAGGGGAGGAGGAGGAGGAGAAAGAAAAGGGAAAAAGGGGAGAAGGTTTGTTCTTCTTCGACGGCCTTCGGGAAATACGACGAGGCTACTTTACTGTTGGATACCCCCATTGTTGTGTATACATGGATTGATTACCTCCGACAAGAGCGTTATATTTGTGACGGCGTGGGTTTGTTGGTTGTTGTTGGTAGCAGCGTAGCTCAAAAAGTGTGCGGCCGGATTTCATCGAAATTTTGGGGACAAGTCAGAAAAGTGACAGTAACGTAGAACGATTAACTTTTGGTGACATTCCGAATTACAGTCGGACGCAGCAGCGGTGTAAGTCCTTGCTGAGGTCTGTCACTGCTCCTGAGATGCTTTTCTAGTTGATTGTTTTGTTTTATTTTTAATCAATATTATAGTGGCAGTACGTGCGGAAAAAAATCTCCCTATACCCACACTCGCACAATATTACCAGAGTATGTTTTTCTTAGAAATAATAACTGCGTCACGTCTAATGTAGTATATTGATATCGATAATACCTAAAGTCTAGGTAAATACCATATTAGATATAAAATTTGGTAAGACTATATATCATGTATGCAAATTAATTTATCAATATACTATCAAGTGTGTTATAATTCAGTCAATAAACAATTTTGTTCATTATCTTCATGTTCCAGATCTGATTAACATGCAATATTTCAACTTTATATTCATAGAAAGTAACATCATGTAATTTTGCAAGCAGAACATATTAAAAAAAAAAAAAATAGGATCAAATACTATGTAAAATCAAAAGTGTTTTACCAAAAAAGTTCTCACTTTTTCAAAATTATACACTAGCCTTAATAGTAGCTGAGAATTTTTGACACTGGAAATTGATATGGTACATTACATTACAACTTGTTAACTATTATAAAAGTAAAATTAGTGAATTGCTAAATTTTCCTCAATGGAGGAATACGATTGTGCCTTTCAATAAACTATATTTTATCATTCGAAAATACACAAAATAGAGAGGATGAATCATATATTATGTCCAGTAGAACTTCCCAAATCACAATACTGAAACAAATCCAACAAGGTATATTTTAGAGTTTTATTTTGTTACTTATCAAAGCTATATATTACTACTTTTGTCTGCAGTAAAAAGATTATTGAATAGATAGTTGTCAATGTTATAATTTACGTGAGATATCTCGTTTTTTTACCTGTTTTCTCGTAAGGACTTCGGAATGATTTGACCAGAAGAAAAAAAAAAGAGAAAAAAATGCATCTGATTCTTTTTTTAAAGAGCTTTTGAGAAACTGTTGTACTGGGCCCAGAAACCAGTATTTGTAGCCTAACAGTTACTCAGGTACTACTAATGGAGTAAAGTAGT